ACAACGATTTTACCGTGCATGAACCGTCCGATGTCTTTCCACACAATGTGGGCTTTAATCAAAAGAGAATTCCAGACCTCAAGGTGCAACGAACTTATAGGAGAGACCGACCTCAATGTGCAACGAAATTAAAGCTCGAACAAAGGAGAAACAGTGGCACTCTCCGACATAGCCGACTGGAAGAGAATTCAAGACCTCAAGGTGCAACGAACTCAAAGCTCGACAAAGGAGAAACAGTGGACAGTGGCAATCTCCGACATACCTTGGCCAAGAATCGAAGCCGTTGCTGAGTTTAGACTACGTACTAGAGAAACAGTGGACAGTGGCACTCTCCGACATACCCGACTAGCCAAGAATCGAAGCCATTGCTGAGTTTAGACTACGTACCTGACACGGTTACCAAGAATCGAAGCCGTTGCTGAGTTTAGACTAGACTGGCGCCGACTGGCCAAGAATCGAAGCCGTTGCTGAGTCTTAGACTTTGGCCAAGAATCGAAGCCGTTGCTGAGTTTAGACTACGTACGGACGGATTGCCTGGCAAAACACCTTCAAAGATTGGGAGTATACAGTCAAGGTGCAACGAACTTAAAGCTCGAACAAAGGAGAAGCCGTTGCTGAGTTTAACTTTGGCCAAGAATCGAAGCCGTTGCTGAGTTTAGACTACGTACTAGAGAAACAGTGGACAGTGGCACTCTCCGACATACCCGACTAGCCAAGAATCGAAGCCATTGCTGAGTTTAGACTACGTACCTGACACGGTTGCCGACTGGCCAAGAATCGAAGCCGTTGCTGAGTTTAGAGTGGCACTCTACCACATAGCCGAATGGCCAAGAATCGAAGCCGTTGCTGAGTTTAGACTTTGGCCAAGAATCGAAGCCGTTGCTGAGTTTAGACTACGTACGGACGGATTGCCTGGCAAAACACCTTCAAAGATTGGGAGTATACAGCTGGCAGAACATCTTAACAGATCGAGAGTATACACTCATCCCGCATGCCTCCTAATTAGTCTACAGGAGGAAATGGATAAGACCCACCTGTTTCGGTGTCCGGCCCTAAAGACAACCACGGAAAGCCAGAGATACTGAAAAGCAAGAAGACAACTAATAAACTACTATTAATTAACTGCTATAAATGTACCCTCTACCCTTGAGGTAAGCTGATGTCAAAGTTTAAGGGCTAATGATAGATATCCTAAAGCCTACAATTTAAAATAAATAAATAAATATTAGGTTTGGCAAGTAAGTGGTTGAATAATGAGGAGGTAATCGTTACCAGACTTTTGATAACCGGCTCTCCCATACGCTTCTTTCACGAATCTAAGCTATTTGATCTATTTTTTTTGAAAAATGCGTCGCAACCAAATGGTTTTCATCAATTTAAATCAACTTGCATGCAATCAGCTTAAATGTTTTCTGTATTTCAGAAACTATACATATTATTAACAAATGGTTTTCGCCAATATGTTTGAGGTCATGAGAAATCAATCGAGATTTATGCTTTAAGGTAATTGCACATACATCAAATGAGAAAGGAATTACTTCAATACGCAACCGAGGGTCCCATTCGGCTATTGAATTGCATCATATATATAGCACAGTGCATAACCTTTCCTCAAAGCAATAACAGTATATTTTTAAAGGAAATGATGAAACGCATGACTCAGTTGGTATAGCTCAAAAATCCATTGTGAGGAAATTTATATTCTGAAGATCAATTAAAACTTACTCTGTAATTTGAATCAAGTTGCATGTATAACTCACTATTTCCCCTCCTCGTACTGGTCCGATTCCGTCAACAAATTGTTTGCTCATGTGCAGACCGATTACTTTCCCATGCATCTGCTCTACTCATCCATGTTAGTACTAAATATTTTTTCCAGTGCCACAAACACATTAAATTGAGACATGATAGATAATTTTCTTCTTAATAGAATTCAGCTTCAAGCATTTACCATTTTTCGAAATATTCATTGTCAGTTGCTTTCATAGCTATGCGCTCAAGGATTCACTTGAATATCTTCCTTGATTTTTTAACAAAATTCATTCAAGGCAAGCTATCATGATTTAGACATTCATGCGCACATTTTAGGGGGGAACGGAGATGCATACAACTTCCTGACGGATCATGCTCGTTATCAAATTAGCTCCTTGGAGCTTGTATTAGTAACGGAAGGTACTGTTAGTACTGAATAAATTGAAAGTGTTTAAACAAGAGAAGTGGAGTTTGTTTTTTTCTCATTCTGAAAATTATATAAATAAAATATGGAAAGCGAGAATTGTAAATACCAAAACATTGACATTTTAAATTTTAAATAATGTTATGAAACTGTTATCGATATGTTCAAATAAGTTTAAACAAAAACTTTCTATCCGGATTCTAACACAATCTTGACACATTAGGTTGTGGACATTACTTGACTTTAGTTCCAAAACACGGCTCACAAATGAAAGGTCTTTCTTAAATATGGGCTCATTTGCGTTGCGTTATGGAGCTACGCTTCAACAAAAAGCGTCCATATTCTTTAAGCTGGATGGTACGGCTCACTCTGTGTAACATAAAATATTGCAAAGCTTTCATAAACTCTGTGCAATTATTCATCTAAATATGTATTTTCGAGTGCATTCAAATTATTTTTCTAAATGCCATTCTTTTCAGGTAAGTGGATTGGTTGTTTCCTGGTCAATCGAAATCCTTACATTATATTTCGTTATTTACTTTTAATAATTCCATGGATATATTTTCGTTTGTGAGGCTACACTTCATTTTTGTCGTGCATACGGTTATAACCATTGTGACAATGATTTGTTTAATGCAAATGCAGATGTGAAAGCTGGTGCAATTTACGATAACCATTTTATGTGGTTTACAGTCATTGAAATATTCCGATGAATAGATGATTTAATTATTTATGATAGGTATCATTAGCCCTTTAGTTGACTTCAGGCTTCACAGAAAGGAAGATGAACATCCAACTGGTAAAAAGTGGAGAGGGAGACAGAATAATGATTCACAGACGTAAAAGAGACAGACAGACACAAAGGTAGAAATAATGTGAGGTGAATACTGTGGAATTATTCGAATATGAAATGTGATGGGGTCATAGAAGTTTGAAGTCAGAAGTCAACTGCTGATTAATAGACTTTTTTGCCGTATGAGTATACGTTGCCCAGGGTGCACCACGTGTAGGTAAGTCTATTACACACCCCATGGACAGATGATTGTTCGCACAACTTTATAGGGTCATTTTACTTTTTTTGCCTTTTCGAGAGATTTATTTATATTAGAATTTCAAACTAAATTAGAATGGTTCATGCTTTTACTCAGATTTCCATCACAGTCAAAATGAACGGTCGGACACTGGTAAATTACTTAACAAATTTGGCCATTATAATAATTTAAATGAATATACCACAATTGCATTTTTTTGAAATGAATTAGATTATGTGGAAAGCCCTATCAAAATGAAACACTTTAAAGTAAAGAAATAAAATATATACATGTTTGAGCATGATGCTTAGTCATTCAATTCAAATTAAATGGTCGATTGTTAATAAACACTCTTTTGAACATATTACTGAAAGTTAGACATTTGTTAGTTGATCGAAATTACATTTTTTTGCATTTTATTATCAGACAATGGGGTGTGCGATAGACTTACCTCCACGTGGTGCACCCTGGGCAACATATACTCATACGGCAAAAAAGTATTAATCGGCAGCTGACTTCTGACTTTAAACTACTAAGACCCCACTGCATTTCATATTCAACCCCTTCAACAACACTCATCTTGCCTTTTTCTCTACCTTTGTGTCTGTCTGCCTCTTTTACATTGTGAATCGCTCTTCTGCTCCCCTTACTCGACTTTCTGCTACTTTGATGACTCTTCCCTCTGTGAAGCCCGAAGTCAACTAAAGGGCTAATGATAGCTATCAAAATGCATGCCATTTGAAATAAATAAATTATCAGACAATAACTTTTTAAAAAAAAATTCATGTGTACACTACGAATGGACGGTATAAAAGGAATTGACAGGCAGTCTCTATATTAGCCGCTTTTGCTATTAGCTTGTAAATTAATCAGTTAAACAGACATTCAGCATGTGCCTTTCCAGTGTGAGGGCTTTTTCCGACTGTCTAATCTATTTTACAAGCGCACATTTAAAGGAAGTTGATTTGAAATACTTCTATTAAACTTGGAATGGCATTTTGAATTAGTGCATCGTGAAATTCA